GCACTGAATTCGGTGTACACTCACTTTGTCTGTTTTCTCCGCTCTGACACTCTTTTCCTGTCCTTTCCTTTCCCTCTCCAGCTGTGATCAGACACTATTTCACATAACGCCTCAGTCTAGATCTGAGGGAGCGGGGAACCTCCCTTCACAGACAACCCCTGCTGAGATCACTATCACTATCTGAGTTTCCTACTTTCGACTCTCCGGCAGCTTTTCCAGCGTCATGCCTGCAGCTGTTTTGCAGAATACATCAGGGACACAGGAATAGTTCGTGGTGCATCCGACGGTTTCAGGGTGATTCATCTGTAGGTGCAGAGGCAGGAAGCTGAGGTGACGCAGGAGGTTTAATACTGTACAGTATGTTCCCTGTGGTGTTAGAATGAGCAGAAAATAATATTACTCTGCAGTCTGCAACTTAGAGCGCTTAAAAATATCAGCCTCCTTTTGTTTACTATGCATACAACCTCTGGAAGAATGCTTCGCCTGTACTTGTTTGTCTTCTTACGCAGCTGAATTTCCACTGGAAAAAAAACCACAGTTGGTGGTTCATGTAAAGACACAACAGCTGCATCTCTTTATTGTTCACCAGCAAGGCAGAAATGTTCAGTAATTACATGCCTGTGACCTCTGATTGTACAAATCTGTCCTCATCTTTATCTGTGAGACAGCTTTGGAAACACTGTACAATAGCTTCAGCTCTTACCAGGCAGAATTTGGAGGTTGTGAGCCACATGTGTGAGCACTCTCTGTGTTTAAAAGCCACATAAAACTTTTAGGGTTAACTTATTGCATTAAAAATGTGCTTTAAAATGGAAAATGTGCTGCAAGTTTACCTGAATTATTTACTGTTCTTCGATTTCTCTTTCATTCACAGACCCAAGTGAAGCTACAAGGACATGACAACCTCTTTTTTTTTCTGCCAAACATTTCATGCTGTGATTATATCAAGTTGAGAGTGTGAGTGGGATTTTTCTCTCCGAGGGTTCTAATGGCACTTACATGAAATCTTATCCAAGCGATACATGGTAGAGATCACTGTGAAACCTGGCAATTGACGTTTTAGATGTGCTGACATGAATCGGGACAGTGAGTGGTCTCTCCGTCTCTTACACAGTGACCTCATGTTGCCGACGTTAGCCCTTGCTGAGGGAGCATAACTGAGGAGGATTTAACACTCGATCTCATGGAGACAGCTGCATCCAGGGAGATCACTTTCCTAGCTGCCCATGCTCCTGGACCACTTACTGAAGGCTTAACATCCAGCTTCCTTCAGTCCTGGGAATCAATTTGGTTTAGCTGACGGTCTTTTAAAAGCTGCAACTGAGGAATAATCCAGCATTGCTGAATCATTGCAGGGTCAGTTCAGCCCAATGGAGGGAAAAAAACAAACATATTTTCCTGCTTAACCCATATCGGTATGTAGGCATGTAGATTGTTATTGAATAGTCGTGGGAAAAAAAGCAGCAACAACATGTATGTGAATTATCCTGTTTGTCCAAAGACAAGTTGCTGTTGTTGAGTTAAATGTGATGCTTTAGCCAGAAAATAGTAGATGCCACTCGGATTCATGGGGAAATGTTTGTGCTTTTTGTGATGTGGATGACCTGATACTTTAAATTCAAGTGGCATTAAATGCATCCACTTTTTGGCTCAGCCTGAGTTTAGCATCTTCCATTTTTTTTTTTTTTTTTCCCAGCTGAGCACTGGAGCTAACACAATTAGGACTCTTACACTGCCACTAGGCTGCTGTAGCCCTTTAAGGGCAGAGAACAAGCTATCACAAAGGACAAGCTTCCACTCACTACACAAGCCCTGCGTGTCATGGTTGACCTTTCCTTTCTCTTGCACTGTCTGAACTGATTAGCTTTTCTCAGTGGCAGATACACCACAGCTTACCGCCACTGTCCAAACTCAGTCCGATAACAACTTGAGCAAACTCCTCCACTCTGACACCACAGCTGAAACGCAGTAAGAAGGGGTGGTGGGCTGATAACTGTTCCCATCTTCGGTGCCATATTCTAACCGCCCTTGAACTCATTTGCTCTTTTGAGGGCAGCAGATAATTCCTATCTACAGATGTGTTAATTGGGCTTTCGGAAGGAAGTCAGCATATTAAAGTAGTCTGGGGGCTCGCTGGTGAAGCAGACCAAAGCCTCGGGAAATCACATGTGATTCAAGCTGACCTTCATCTAATGTGCAGTCTGGGGACCATACAAAGCTGGGCTGAATTAGCTTTGCCAACACTGGCAGAAAAAAATTCCACCACAGTATTTCTAACTAACCACAGAAATACCCAGGAGCCACGACGTGGTGCATAAATTTATTTCAACATATATTAACATTTTGTATATTTTTTTTTTTCCGTTTTTGTTAAAGACACAATACATATAGTATTTACATGAGATTCTACAACAACACTTGCTGGCAGGAAACAGTTTGATAATTTGATAAGGATAAACTGGGTAAGAGGAAGGCTACTCTCTAGAGCTTCAATAAAACTTTATATAATTTGACACCTCATCATTAAACTTGACAATTCCTGTTATAACAGTCCATGAGAAACAACTGTGCACACTGCTATGTCTATGTCTAATGATGATAATGGCTGTGATGAATACAAAGCCAAAGCTGCTCACATCAGAGCACTGACTCAAGTTGGGGGCTACATGTATATTTAAGTTTGTTATGATGTGTCATGTTATGATGGATCATATTACGTTGAATCATATTACATTACCTTATGTTATGATGCATCATTTTATATTTCCTCTTATGTCATCTTGACACACCATCATATGATGTCATGTTATTATGTGTCATATGTTGTCATGTTAAATTTCCTTATGTTATGATGCATCATATTTTAATGTACCGTGATCTTGTATCATGTTATGTTACATCAGCGTTGTGTTTTGCAATGATTTAGCATCATGCAACCCATTGTTATGTTTCATTGAGTTAAGTTGTGTTACTTGACCTTAAGCACACAATATGAGGATCCTTCTAATCCCTGTCTTTTTGTTGTAAAGCAGGGCTGATTCACACCCCACTACAATCTACTGACGGATTACCTTTTGACAAATGCTATGAGGCAGCCAGCATCTCAGCATACAATACACCCCTTTGACAAGGCTTCAGCCTCAATCAGGTCACCTTTGCAAAATCAAGAGTGAGGCTGGAATGAGACGAGGGAAATGATAGGGACCATCAACGGCTCTGATTATGTAAGATGAAAATGGATAAAGACTTTGGTCTGTGAACTGGCTCATAAAATTGAAGAAAATGTGTATATGCAGAAATGAGTCCTCCAGTATAATAAGCTCAGCAGCTGTCTGGAGGAGCTGTGGGTGACTTGGGGGGGGTTAGTGACCAGTTATTTCATTTGGGCTCAATTAGACTTGACGTTCAAGAAGACAGGACAGAAACCGAACCAGAGGAGCATTGGTGCTGTCACTATAGCGACAGAGCTGATGGGCTGTCATGGGAGGAGTGGGTATATAAGAAAAGTAAAGACAAAAACACACACACACACACCTGACTGACATTACAGTAAAGCAATTCAAGCAAGGAAAGTGATGGTAATGAGCATGCATTGAACCATACACATGGAACATACTGTGCTTTTTAGATGCTTTCGTAATTAGCGGTATCTTTTTGGAAGCTGTGTGTCGGGATCAATCAACAGCTTGCAGAACATTAATGGCTGACACAGAGGTCATTCCTGCAGACAAAAAACACCTGGGTTCTGCTATTCGAATGACACATTTGGATGGCTTCCCAGAGAGAGGCAGGAAGATTAAATTAAAGGTGAGCACGGGGGGGGGGGGGCAACATCATAGTCTGAGCAGTTGGGATTGTGTGTTTAATGTTGCATCTCGATAATCAAATATTGGAACACGTTTTGTGATGCTGGGAAAATTAATTTGCACGGTGCCGACCTGCAAAGCAGCTCTAAGCTTTAAATGATTGTACACTGAAAATGGATGTTGCTCATGATAAGGTTACGGTCACAGGAAAATGCACAAATGAGTGATGTCTGTTCACCAATTTGGGTCAAGAAAACTTGGTCCAGTTCAGAAAAAACCCAAAGCAGTAAAAGAAAACTGGGATCAGCAACTGCTACCATGTTATACATTGTGAAAGGTTTTAGATCATATCTCTATATATTTAATTTCCTGTGGTGGACTGTACATTCTGTCACATTTTGTTGCTACATACAGTGCCTTGCCCCAACAGTAAATGTAAAACCCTAAAACCCACTTTCCCTGTTGTAGAAAAATTAGTACAGCTACATAGTTGAACTACCTGATATTACGGTGCACTCCTAGAAATATCAAATTATTTACAATAAAGAGTCGTAGTTTTCTCCTCCTTTACAAAAATCTTGTGCTTTAGCTTTTGAAACACACACATACATGTCCAAACACACACAGCAGGTAGAAAAGAAACAATACTCTTTGTTCCATCACCCTTTCCATTCAGAAAATGTACAATCCCTGTATTCTACTGCGTTACACTGGAGATGAATCTCATTGAGAGCAGTTCAGAAGTGGCCGATGTGTCTTCCAGCCAGTCGATGGTTTTCCATTAATGATAAAACAGGAAGTGACCCACTGAAGTGTCCTGAGGGGGTGTCTATCACTGATGATCTGTATCTCAGTCGACACACCTTCGTGAAAAGACGTCTCATACAAACTGCTACATTAAGCTTTCTTTTTTTTTGTCTTTTTTTTTTTTTTTTCTTTAGAACACTTTCTCTTAAAAATGTCGAGGACAAAATTAAATGCATTTGGAAGTTGGCAGGAAGTCTGACAAATGGCGGACGAATGTAGTTGCGTAGGTTGCCCTCAGATCACCAGCCTCCGACTGAACAGCATCGACTGATCAGGTGACGTTTTGGCCTCCCTGGAGCTCGTATTCGTAGATGAATAAAGACTAAAGTAAAGAGACACGGACTGATGAGTGAGAAGAGACAGAATCTGTTTTCATGAAGTATCTAATTATAGAATCATTAGCACCACCACAGTGTATGAGCCGAAAACACGAATGTCTGGATGGTAGAATGAGCTGCTGAGAGGAACATCATCAGCGGACTGTTAAACGCTGCCTGCATGGCTGCTCAGCTTGGGAAGCAGTCTTTGGTCACAAATCAAAACCTAAGCGGCATGTGCCAATGATGAGCTGTCCGAGTGTGTACCGCTGATTGATGATGTCCATTTTCACAGCGGTGGATGTGATCCTGAGCTTTCTCTTTCATGGTTAAAGTCGGTCTCCTTTTTCACTGGAGTCTCTGTGGTAGTTATTAACACCTCTTCACAGTTTGTTATTGCTGTGAAAAGCTATCTAAGTCTCCAGCGCTAACATTAGCGTGGTCACACGCAGATTTCAATGGCAGTTGCCATCACCATCTGGCTTTTGTTCTTGTCTCGGCCTGGAGACTGGTGCTGTCCAGACTCCTCTCTGGGAGACAGCGGGTCAGACAGGACACTACGTTTGAGTGGTGCTGGGCGCAAGCAAGATGTTCCTGGAGGGGTGGAGGGCTCAGGGTGTCGGTGGGAGGAACGTGTTGTAGTGGAGGACGAGGATGAAGTACAACTGCCAGTACACACTCCCGAGCTTGACCTTTCCCCTCTCTTGGCTCGGCAGGATGCTCTGCGCCTGAGCTCGCTGACCAGCTCATACTTGACAAAGCAGAAGACATCCTTGACTCCACAGCGTTTTTCCGGCTCAGCGGCGAGCAGCCTCTGAAACATGCGCAAGGCATCATCAGTGAATCTGCGCCACTGAGACGGGTACGTTCCCACAGGGCACCCTGCTTTCTGCCAGCGCCGGAACTCCTCGTAGAAGGCATCGGCCTGTAGCGCTGCCTCCCAGGGGAAATTGCCCGTCAGCATACAGAAGACCAGCACGCCGAACGCCCACACATCCAGGCTGGTGGTTACAAGGAAACCTTCAGCACGACTGGCCCGGCACACCTCTGGCGCCGTGTAGGGAATGGTGCCACTCACCCGTTTCACACGGCAGCCCACGCGCCGGGTCATGCCAAAGTCTGCCAGCTTGATGCGGCGGCACTCGCGGTCAAACAAGAGCACATTCTCAGGTTTGACATCCCGATGCACCAAGTTTTTACTGTGCATAAAGTCCAGCGCCAGGCCCAGTTGTTGCATGCAGCGTTTGACCATTTCCTCTGGTAGACCCACCTGAGAGAGAGAGACAGAGTGGAGCAAGCAACAGAAAGTGTTGGAGACAGAAAGAGAAAAAGTGAGATTTTGATTATTACAGTCTAATACATGCAGCACAGTGTGTAGGAGGTGAGACTATAGGAGGCGATACAAGAAAAAAAAAAACTTGATGGTGAGGTTACAGTACTGTTTGAAAGAATAGGTGATGGTTATGTTGAGAGGAGGAATGGAAGTACAGAGTGAAAAGTGATAAGCTTCTCCAAAAAGGAAAACTGAAACAAAAGAGTCTCAGTTCTGAGTTCTTCAACCATTTTTAATGAGTCTTCAGAAGAACCTTGAAGTCAAGCTCTCCCGACACATCAACTGGAATAGCACTAAAGCAAAGTGAGAGCTCTGCGCACAGAGAAAAGCAGGACAAAGACAAGGCTCCAATCCCACGAGAGCTTGTTAAAACCGCCGTGTCTGAACATGGCAACTGATTGGAGCAGCTCTGGCTGAGTGAGGACGGTGATTGGTGGAAGGAAGGATGATAGCGTTACCTGTGGGGGGATGATGTCGAAAAGGTCCCCAGCGGGGGCATATTCTTGTCCAAACACATAGCTGTCCTCCGTCTCAAAAAGCACGTCCAGGACTTTGATGATGAAAGGGCTGCAGCTAAGTGAGCCTGTTAGACTGTATTCCCGCAGGAAACTCTTCAGCTTCGTCTTGTTCTTGGTAACAAACTTCAGCGCCATTTTGGTGCCTACGTAGATCAGACATAATATACAGAACACATGAGCAGACACAATTCAACTTTGGTCTATTAAACCTGTATATCATATCATATCAAGTACTGCCAATATGTTACTATTCAAAATATTCAAATCATTATCAAAAAAAAAAGCAATTAAAAGTGAATTTGCAAGTGTTGCCTGATACTCTACGAGAACTACCCAACCCTGTCTTGTAACAGCTGCTAGCTTCATTCATATAAACACATACAGTGAATGAATCACACCTCCATTACACACGTACAGCCAGCTGCTCACGTTAATAGCTGCAGAAATACAGAGGCTCTTTAGTGTGCACACAGCACTGTTAATCTCCAATGGCCTCTCAGCCCCTCAGCCTCCCTCTGCACTACTTTATAATGCTTAGTTATACTGCTTTCAGCCTGAGCCAGTCAGCTCTCTAACCTTGATTTTCTTATAACAGAGGATTAAACAGTAGTCCTAACAAAAATCCTTAACAAACCCCTTTTAACTGTGCTGAAATTAAATTTCTTGGCACAATGCCTTGACACTTTATAACACGCTGATCGGCCTTAACCGGTTACCGTCAGCTGTGAGGCATCCTGGCACAATGTGGATATTGAGATCAGAACAATCTGTTTGATTAAATTTCCTTTTTTATTTACACTTGATTGATAAGTGATTTAAAAAAAAAAATAGTTGACAATCACGACATGTGAGACAGGAACAGATCTTGATGCCTTTACCAACTCACCCTGTGTTCTGTGAGCCACCAGGTCCACCTTGCCGTACGTGCCCTTCCCCAGCTCGCGGATGTGCTCATACTGTTTGGCTACATCTGCTGCCGTAAGAGAAGTAATGGCCAGGGCCTGCATGTCCTCCACTGGCACCCCTCCGCAGTAGCCCATCTTGGATGTAGGGGAGCCCCCGCCGCTGCCCACCCGTCCCGGCCCAGATGGAGAAAGAGACAGGCTCGCCTTGACGCTGTGGGGCAGACTAAATGAAGACAGCACTGCTTAGTGTCAGGTTTTATTCTGCTGTGATGGTAGCAGGTGATATAAATTTTATGCATGAATGTGTTTATGACAGAATGATCCTCAATATCTTTATTCTTTATGTTTGCTGGCGCATATCCATATATTCTTATCCGTACAGGTTGTCTCAGTGGGGGGTTAAATCAGAGAGGCTTGAGCAGACCTCCATTTCCATACAATCAATTCAGTGAAAGGCATCAACAGGGGAAGTGCTTTCAGTAAATGTATTGGACATCCTGCTGTCCCCTAGATCACTCTGGCCAGCTTTCAGATATGGTCTCAGACAGCACTTACTGGCAGACAGCTATGGGAAAATCAATACGACCAGGTAGAAGGACTAACAAATGGAAAAAAATGGAAGGAGCTGACAGCTTCAAGGTGTATACATGCTGGAAAGACAAGTCGAAGATCATCTGTGACCACGCTGACGTGATCATACATATGCTTTGTCCGTACAGTTGAAGAAATCAATGTGGCTGTGAAAAAAGGGGCTGCTTAGTTTTGCCCGGCTTTGCACAGTGGTTGCTCTGAGTATATCATTCATATTGCTGAAGCTTAAAAAAAAAAGAGAAATACTGCAACAGAAAAGTTATTGCTGATTTTCAGAAGTGCCAAGTATGAAATAGGTCAAACTGATCCTAGGAGGCAAAAATAGAAAAAAAAAGAAGCTGTTTTAATTGCAAGTTCAGATGGAGTCAGCCACACGAACTGTACCAACTGACAACAAATTAACAATCCGAGATGAGTGACATGAGTCTCTGCTTCAGTGTTTGAGCAAACAGGAAGAACAAACTGCACAAAATGGACCTTTTTGATGAAATGAAGCGGATCACACTAATGATCCTACCCATTGTCTCCGTCTCTCTTCAACCCTCCCTCCCCTCCTCCGTACACACACAATCAAATGTAATCATCCAATCATGCACTGCACGCACACACATGCAGTATACTCTAATAGGCATCAAATCAGCACAAACAATTTTGCTGATGGCCTCCTTCATCCATCATTCAACGGCAACTGTTTTGCTCTTTGTTCTTCTTTCCCCGCAGCCAGACACCTAAACAAGAGCATCACAAATGTGAGTGTGTGTCGACTGTTAGGCACATTATTTTTGGGTGGGGTGGGGGGGGGGGGGGGGGGGGGGGGCACAAAGCTCAATTCATGCACAGTTCCTAATGTATAGTTGATGAAAACATGGAACAGGAAGTTTTGTTCAGACATTTTGAAGTTGTTGAGGTTCCTATCTTGTGGGGAGAGTGATAAATATAGCTATTAGACAGCGAAAACTAAAATAGGATGCGACCATTTGCAGCCTTGTGTTCTTGGCTCAGCACTCTTTGTCGAAGAAAAGAAAAAAACAACAACACTGCAAATAGAAAGAGTGCCCTGTGTACTGTATGTATCTCTGCAGATCACACTTGCTTCTTGATTTTATCACAAGCTTGGAGTTGGTTATATAAGAGACTATGAATATTGTAGCCTACTCATGCTGAGCGTGCCCACTGTATAGCCTTCAGCGAGTCGACACAAAAGTTGATCACTATCCAAACCAGTCTGTGGTCCAGGATTGGTGATTAAACATTTAAACAGGACAGACAGACAGACAGACTGGAAGCACATTTCCTCTGACCGCCCACCTCGCGTGGCCCCATAGCCTCTACCAGTGAGAGCGAAGCAGAGCGAAGGGAGCGCTTGTTTACTGGCACTCCTTCCAGTCAGCTCCACGGGCAGAGTGTGCAGCACTCCGGCATGGATCTTAATCACATTACTCAGCTCCCACAAAGACAAAAGCAGCCCCCCCCCCCCTCTCCACCAGCATCACCCAGCAGCGCAGGATGCTTTGCACTCATTTCCTTTGCAGAACTGGATTAAGAGTCCTGAAATGTGATGTGTGGTTGGGAAGACGGCGCTCTCCGCAGCTGCAATGACGCTGTAAATGTGAACCAGAAACTGCAGTATAGTGCCTCAGAGGTGTGGAGATGAAGTTATGTGGTTTCTGGGCAATGATTGTGTGTGTGAGTGTTTATGTGTGAGTGTTTGGGAGGGAAGACAGGGAGGAGGGGTGTATCAGTCGCACAGTGACACTCTATCAAAGGTCCTTTGTGTTCCTACCTCTGAGAGGGAGCAGCTGTGAGCCTCGCACGACTCAGCTCTCGTGCTCGACCACAGCCACATGCCCCACTGATCTCCCATGCTGCCCTCTGCTCCTCTCCTGTCCTCTCGGGGCGGCTAAAGACAAGGTAACATGAACACGCTCCACATACAGATGAGGATTTGGCTTGAGACACATTTTAATGTCTGTGGGTTTTTGAGCCAGTCCAACTCATTGTTAATCATCTGTAAGCCCTTTAAAAACAGATCCCTGAGCTGCCTGTTAATTCCTGTATTGTTTTTATTGCTGTTGCTGTGGTAAGACCTTGTAACTTCAATATTTGAGATTTTCATGCTTTAATTGTGATGATCTGGTTTTCAGATAATCAAATGTCAGTGGATTCCACTGGCATTTGATTATCTGAAAACCCTTTTGAAAATCTGAATAGATCAACTCAAAAATACACTGCATAGACAGTGACAGTGAAAACAAGCCTTTTTCCTAATACCTAAAAAGTGGAGATACAGGGTTTTCACTCAGCAGCAACAATCTGTTTTCCAGCCACTAATTTCCCCTCAAATACAGATTGACAATCCAGCTCCATTTAGCAATTACTCAAATTGAGATGAGTGCATTCACAGTATAACCCTCTTAAAACCAGGTTGTTCCCAGAAAAAGGCAAAACATTCACTTTTATGTCCAAATAACCACTTTGACTGTCTGGAAACCTGTTGTGGCTGAACTGACTCCACGTGTCCCCACACGAGATTAAACTGCAGAAGCAGTTGACCTTTTCTTCTATAAACACTTAGCTAGAAATGAGAACAGAGATGAACCCTGTGATGCCACTGGCAACCACTCCTCTTGTAACAGGCTGTCTCTTTACAGCCTCAGGGTGTGCTCTTGCTATGTTCCTCATCCTGTGTGTTCCTAGCCTCTGAACTCTGAGGGTTACACTTGTGAATGCAAGTCTTCAGGTGGCGCTTCTCAGCTGTTTCAGCTGTCCAATGTCAGAGACACAGTAAGCTTCATTTCTGGCCATGCTAACGACTTGGCTCTAGGCATTCATTCAGGTATTCATGGTCTCTAAAGGATAATCCTGGTTTTTCTGACTTTTCCATGGTGCCACCATGAGGACAAAACTTTCACTTATCCTGTGAAATATCTCAATATCTACAAAAATTTTGGTTCCTACATGATGCATCCAAATGACTTTGGTGGTCCTCTCTAGTGCTACCACATCTGTGGCTTTGAGTGAAACAGTTGGACGGACTGCCATGAACATGACATTCACGTTCCCCTCAGGATGAACTGTAATAACTCTGTTCCCTTAATGTTTGTCTTTGTCTCGCACCATCGTCAGTTCAAAATCTCAATTTCCCTAATACTTTGGTTTATGACTGCTAAACTAGAACAGTGAACATGGTAAACATTGTACCTGTTAAACATGAGCATGTGAGCATCGTCTTTGTGAGCACGTTAGCGTGCTGGATTTAGCATTTTGCTCAAAGAACTCTTGTTAGTCTTGTTTACATGTTTCAAACCATTCAAGGTTAGTTTCAATAGCAGGGTTTATGTTCTCAGAACATTAACAGAACATGGGTTAACCGCTCATTGCCACTGGAAATCCGAGCCTGCAAGAGGCTGCATCTTCTCTTTCACAGTGTCATGTGACTCATCAGGGACAATAACTGTGTATTCAGTGAGCTACTGGCTCTCCCGCCGTAAACTGTGTGTTGCAGTTGCAATGAACTGTGACATTACATTGATTACCACATAAAGACTTTATAGAGGTGAGGTTCAACCTTGAATACAGATTCACATCAGTTGTGTGTGTACAAGATGAAAATTTGGGTATTTGAGCTGATGTTGGACGGTGCACCATCGTCAGTAACAAATGCATTTTAATGTACATAAAGCATGTATTAAAGATAGAGGAGGATGAGAGTCAGCAGGTTTACACTATGTGTTTGTTCTTTTTAGTCCATTCTTCCTGCTTTCCTTCTCTCCTCTTTCTCTTTTGTCTGTTGCTGAAAATGTAAACAAGGGACTAATGAAAGAAATAAATAGATTGCTGAGCCTGCCTCACGTCTCTACCTCTCTCCGTTACTAATGGACTAGTTGCATTGCTCTCGGCAGAAGAGTCATTATGGGTGAAGACTGATCTCCTGTGTCCAATTTACTGTCAAAATGCCCGACGTGTCTTGCCTCCAGGTCAAAGTGAAACCAGTGAGTGAAATATGATGTGACTGACAGGGTTTCTCTCACTCTGTGTGTCTCAAAATAAACCAGCTGCATGCACAGACACACATATAGAGTGGATGACGTGCACGTTCTGTGTCCATCTTCCGGGTTGTCTCAGGGAGGACGGTTTGAATAAAAAAAACAAACCGCTGTGCTCCAAAGCGATCTATCATTCGATCAAAATGGGCTTCACCGTGACAGCCAGTTGCATCCAGGACACACTGTTCCCCACACAAGCATAAAAAAAAAAAAAAAACTGAATCACCTTCCTCAGCGGCACAGATCATCAGTGTCAGTGAGTTGGTGGGTTTCGTGCCTCCGCCAACACATGGCTGAAGAAAGCTCCCACTGTGCCGTGATAGGTGAACCTGCGGCCCAGGCCACGGACACTCACTTTGACAAATCACCTGTTCTCAGCTGTGCCCGGCTGCCCACATGGACGATCCCTGCTGGGACCGAGTGCTGTGTAACCCATCCCTGATTTGTCTCGCCTCTGCTCTCCTTCCCATCATCCCTCTCTCTCTCTCCCTCTCTGTA